TGGCGAGACTATACAGAAGATCTGTATAGGAAGGATAATAATATTGAGGATAGTTTTGACGGTGTGGTGAATGAATTAGAACCAGACATCCTGAGGAGTGAGGTTGAATGGGCCTTAAGAAGCATTGCTAACAACAAGGCAGCAGGAGACGACGGGATCCCAGCTGAACTGTTTAAAATCGTAAAAGATGATGCTGTCAAGGTGATGCATGCCATTTGCCAGCAAATATGGAAAACACAAGAATGGCCATCAGACTGGAAAAAATCAACTTATATCCCCATACCAAAAAAGGGAAATGCTAAAGACTACTCAGACTTCCGTACAGTGGCCCTTATTTCTCATGCCAGCAAGGTAATGCTCAAGATCCTGCAAGGAAGACTCCAGCAATACATGGAGAGAGTACTGCTGGATGTACAAGCTGGGTTTAGAAATGGCAGAGGAATAAGAGACCAGATTGCCAATATCCGCTGGATAATGGAGAAAGGCAGGGAGTTTCAGAAAAACATCTATTTCTGCTTCATTGACTATTCTAAAGCCTTTGACTGTGTGGATCATAATAAATTGTGGCAAGTTCTTGGTGGGATGGGCATCCCAAGCCACCTTGTCTCTCTCCTGAGGAATCTGTACAAGGACCAAGTAGCAACAGTAAGAACTGACCATGGAACAACAGACTGGTTCAAGATTGGGAAAGGCGTACGGCAAGGCTGCATCCTCTCACCCAACCTTTTTAACTTGTATGCAGAACACATCATGCGATGTGCGGGGCTTGATGAATGCAAAGCTGGGGTAGAAAATTGCTGGAAGAAACATTAACAACCTCAGATATGCAGATGACACCACTTGATGGCCGAAAGCGAGGAGGAGCTGAGGAGCCTTCTAATCAAGGTGAAAGAAGAAAGCGCAAAAGCTGGGTTGCAGCTAAACATCAAAAAAAACAAGATTATGGCAACAAGAATGATTGACAACTGGGAAAATAGAGGGAGAAAACGTGGAGGCCGTGACAGACTTTGTATTTCTAGGTGCAAAGATTACTGCAGATGCAGAATGTAGCCAGGAAATCAGAAGACGCTTACTTCTTGGGAGGAGAGCAATGTCCTATCTCGATAAAATAGTAAAGAGTAGAGACATCGCACTGGCAACAAAGATCCGCCTAGTCAAAGCCATGGTATTCCCTGTAGTAACCTACGGATGTGAGAGCTGGACCTTAGGGAAGGCTGAGCGAAGGAAGATAGATGCTTTTGAGCTGTGGTGCTGGAGGAAGGTTCTGAGAGTGCCTTGGACTGCGAGAAGATCCAACCAGTCCATCCTCCAGGAAATAAAGGGAAGGATACTAGAGACAAAGTTGAAGTACTTTGGCCACATCATGAGGAGACAGGAAAGCCTAGAGAAGACAATTATGCTGGGGAAAGTGGAAGGCAAAAGGAAGAGGGGCCGACCAAGGGCAAGATGGATGGATGGCATCCTTGAAGTGACTGGACTGACCTTGAGGGAGCTGGGGGTGGTAACGGCCGACAGGGAGCTCTGGCGTGGGCTGGTCCATGAGGTCACGAAGAGTCGGAGACGACTGAACGAATGAACAACAACACAACTCCCAAATGACAAAATCAATTCCCCAACCCCACTAGTATTCAAATTTGGGCATATTGGGTATTTGTGCCAAATTTGGTCCAGTGAATGGAAATACATCCTGCATATCAGATATTTACATTCGATTCATAACAGTAGCAAAATTACAGTTATGAAGTAGCAATGAAAATAATTTTATGGTTGAGGGTCACCATAACATGAGGAACTGTATTAAGGGGTCACAGCATTAGGAAGGTTGAGAAACACTGGTTTAGAGAGTCATCCTCCTCTCCATACGCAAGCAAGTAAATATGGCTTTTTAGCTCTTTCTTAAAGGAGAGTGGGGCTGTTCTGATTTCTTTTGGGAGGGAGTTCCAGAGGGAAGGGCCAACCACAGAGAAGGCCCCCTTTCTCATCCCCACCAGTCGTGCTTGAGACAAGTGGGACCGAGAGGAGCCCCCCCTCTGTTGATTGCAAAGTCCAAACAGGTTTCTAGACAGGAATGTGGGATGTCAAATAGTCTGGGCCCAAACCATCCCTTTTCTTCTCCTGCTATCTCAAGCAATCTAGACACATCTGAATGTCACAATGGGTTTTTGTCCTAGAAATATCCTTTTTAACAGACCTGTTTCTTTGGGGGGAAATCTCACTGTTAAATGCACCAGTAATTCTTTAATCATGTAGTTTTTTTTCAAACTACTCTACCTATTTAACACTACTCAAGCTTAACTTGTTTGTGCTTTTTTTTTCCAGCGACAAACATGTAATTTTTTTTTGTCTCCTTCATGCACATTTTTTCTATACCTTGCTATTGTCTCAAAACTTGATGGATGAATGGATTTCAGAGCCTGACACTTCACCAGCAGCAGCTGTACTGATCGTAAACAAGAATTTTCACACCAGAATTTTAAAATTATTTAGATTTTTAGAAAAGCTGGATGATGATATGGATGAGAGTTTATTAAATCATTATGCTACCTGGAGCCATATTGCTTCTATAAGAATTATTATTTATTAACATTGTCAGAAATGTATCAGTAGCCTTTAACATGAAGCCTCCATCAGTTTTTCAATACCCTTTCTCTAAATCTAGCTTCTAGCTATAATAAACCTTTTTCTTCCACAGCTTATGAAATATTATTTCCCTTTTCCTACCACCTTGAATAACTTACACAATGTACCTGACCTTTTAACAAAGTTTAGAACAATCCTATGATTTTTTTTCTGGGAATGTGACATCCCAGGTGTATCAGTAAATGTGGAAGTAACTGCTTCTGAATTTTGTGTGATCAGCAAAGAAATTTGACCTCTCCAATATGCATTTTTAATTTTCTCTACACGTTTCCCCTTTGTTTCTATGTGTGATGCAATTACCCAGTATCATGAATAAGGGATGGCTGTCTTCTATTTAATAGGGTAAAATATTGACAAAAACTGACAAGTTTTGGAAAAATCTTCCTACATTTTTTCCCATTTTCCAGGTTAGGATTCTTGAGAAACTTTTAGGATTAATGGTGGACGTGCGATAATGCCAAGGAAATTTTGGAGGGAAATTCATGATCAAATACAGAAAATCCTGCAAATAAAGATTAAAATTGAACCAAAATACTTCCGTTTGGGGATGTTTGAATTAGAAAAAGAAAGAAAACACAAAGAGATATTGTTTAATTTTATGTTTATGGTGGCAAGGATGCCAGACACTGGAGAAGAAAGGAATTACTGACAATTGATCAATGGATATTGAAAACAATGGAAATTATGAACATGGACAGGCTGACATATTTGTCATCAACAAACCAAGGAAGAGTAAAAATTCAAACAGATTGGCAGTTGTTTAAGGACTATCTAAAAAAAGGAAAAGATGAAAATATTAATCTAAAGAAGAAAGAAAGAAAGAAGATATAAGAAAAAATCGAAAAAGAAAGGGTATGCAGATATAATTAGAAATGTAAGAATATTATAAACACCACCACAAAGCAGATGGAAGTCAATATGTATATATTTTTGTTGTTGTTTTTCCCCTCTCACTACCACATTTATAGCCATTTTTTAAAGTTAATTTCTGGGTTTTCTCTCTCTTTTTTCTCTTTCTTCTTCGTTTAAACCAACTTCTTTTTTATTTTATAGCTATAGAAAATGTTGTATGTTTGGATCGATAATAAAAAAATATTTTTTTTAAAAAAATGATTAATGGAAAGAGTTTGTAATGTCATAGCTTTCTACAAGTTTATTTTAATTTGTTTAGTTTGTCCTTGTGTCTGTCTAAATTACAGTCCAACACAAGGGGATGAGATTGTACTTAAATCTAGTTGAAGAGTATTATGGGATAGGCTACACTATTCTGAATATATCTGACAGCATTTGAAGTGCAAAGAGAATAGCTTGTGAACTGCTGCCATATGTGTTAACTGAAGCAAGAAAAACTCCTGTGTGGTTATTAAAGTGCTTGAGAATGGAAAAGATACACTCGGGACAATAGGAAAGCTTTTATTATAGATATCTGGTAAAGAGAACTAAAGTTTAGAGAGTATGTTAGGAAAGACTAAATAACTGGAAAGCCTGTGAAACATGGACTGTCTACAGATGTCATACGTAACTCCTGGAATGATTCCATCAGCACTACCTCTGAAAAATCTTACAAATCTCTTGGGAAGACAGGCAGACAAATGTCAGCATGCTGGAAGAGGCAAAGACCACCAGCAGAAGAGCATCACCAGAGTTGATGCTCCTCTGACATCAACTCTGCTGGACTGGCCATGTTGTCCAAATGCGTGGTCACCATCTCCCAAAGCAGTTACTATACTCTCAACTCAAGAATGGGAAATGTAACCTTGATGGATGGGAAAAGGGATATAAAGATGGGCTTAAAGACAACCTTATAAACTGTAGCATAGACACTGAGCCCTGGCCCTTGAGCATTCTAACTGGAGGTCAGCTGTGGCCAGTAGTGCTGCGGAATTTGAAGAGGCATGAACAGAGGACGAAAGAGAGAAACGTGCCAAGAGGAAGGCACATCAAACCAACCCTGACCGGGACTGCCTTCCACCTGGAAACCGATGTCCTCACTGCTAGAGAAGATGCAAATCAAAAACAGGGCTCCACAGCCACCTGTGGACCCACTGCCAAGACACCACATCTGGAAGACAATAATCCTCGAGCTGCGAGGGATCGCCTAAGTAAGTAAGTAAGAATGTAAACTCTGAAGCAGGATCTTAGCCAGATTTTTGATTAGTAGACAAATAGATGGATAGATCAACATAACCACCCATATTTTTGGACTCTTATTGAGCCAATCATGGAGCCTGCACTACAAATTTTACCACTACGTGATCACTTCCGAGAACTCTTACTGGATTCAGCCCTCAGGCTGAAAGACCGCAATTGTCTTTGAAATCTGACTATCCCACCCATGTGTATCTCATGTCTACAGTACATACAGTTCATAGTAGCTTGCCAGATCATTACACAACAAAAACCATTCATGCTTGTTCATAAGGCCCATGTGATGATCTCTACATACAAAGATGCCACAAATTTCCTTGAATAGCCATAATATGTCTTTCTCATAGGTCTCACCTTTTTTTTCTTTGTTAATCTGATCACTTCATTTAACCAGTTTCCAAAAAACGCACACCAAATTAACTTTTATTTTTACCATTTCTGTAGAGGGATTAGGTTCTTGGCAGCTCTCACATGCAGACTGCTGATCACTCATCAAGATCTTTAATTCTACAGTGAATTGTTCTCCAGATGTGAATTGTATTATCTGAAAGCCCTGGGCATTCCTTCAACCTGAGCAAAGAAAGGGACGAGAAAGATTGCCTTATGCCCGAGTCAGCATGATAATCACACATATTTGTATAGCATTGTCCTTAACAGAGGTTGGTCTCACCTGGATCCCTAATGGAGTGAATAATAAGCCCAAAATAAGTGTCTTTGTCTGAGATCTTTGCAGCCAGTTATTTCCTTTTACTTGGCAGTCTCTCAGCAGCCTAAGGGTAGGAAGGAGGAGGCCAAGGAAAGAGTTAACTATCTTTCTATGCAGTGTTACTGATGTGCCAGATAGATGTCTCTATTAGCTTTGTGTCTGTTGAAAGGCAGGTTTCATGCAAGTCTCCACAGAAAGCCAACACAAAGACAATGGGCACACAAGTTTCCAAGACCTGAAATTCTATTTTTGCCTTCCCTTGCCCCTGCCAATCCCTGTTCTGTGACCCTACTACAGATAAATAATAATAATAATAATTTTATTTTTATACCCCGCCTCCACCTCCCTGAAGGGACTCGGAGCGGCTTACATGGGGCCAAGCCCAGTAACACAGAGTTAAAAACATAGCATATAAAATATAAAAACAACATAAAACAACATTACAGCAATAATAAAACAACCATCATAAGCAACAACCAAGAACATACTTCAAGTCTCATTGGTAGAGGCGGGTTGGAGTGCAAACAGGTTAGAAAAAAAGGCTGATCAGTAAGGTGCATAGATCATGTTGGAATATATGGCATTATGACTTTAAAAAGTGGAGCAGCAAAGTGCAGGGACATAGTCTATTTAGGCCATGGATTAGAGCCAACAGTCAAGGAAATGGTTTGATCAAATGCATGACAGAACATCCACATCTTTAGTTTCCTATGAAACATGGATAGGGAAGGTGCCAGACTGATCTCCCTGGGGAAGGAGTTCCAGAGCCAAGGGGCCACCACTGAGAAGGCTCTCTTGTCCCCACCAACCGCACCTGAGATGGGGGTGGGAGTGAGAGAAGAGCCTCCCCAGAAGATCTTAGAGATCATGTGGGTTCATAGTGGAAGATGAGATAACGCAGATAGGCAGGACCCGAACCGTGTGTGTGTATACACATACACATACAGCAGAGTCTCAGAAGTGTTCTTTTTAGTTGACCGAAAACATTTACGCTCCCTTAAAATATATTTGCCTTTAAACTATGCTCTCAAGAGGCAAAAATAAACAGACTTCTTTAAAAGTAACAATGATGGTTTACTCAAAAACTTAATGTCTTCAGCATACAGGTACTTTGCATATCAATCCAATTACGAGTAGATTTGAAGTAGTTTCTCTGTGTAGGAAACACAGGACATCTTTCTTAGAATCAATAGTCCATAGTCCAAAGCATCTCTCTGTTTTGAGAGTCTAATAGAGTCTCTGTCTAGTCTGAAAGTCCAATGAAATCTAATGTCTTCTGTACAGCATACTATTCCTACTGAAATCCAAAACAAACAGTTCCTGTATTCTTCTAAAGGCATACCTCTCTACTGAAGTCTAAACTATACTGTTCCTGCATTGAAGTCTGAAGGCGAACACTCTTCTAAAATGGGAGTCTGAATCCTGAACAAGCCCAGTTCTGATCACATGGTCTGTAGCCCCTCCCACTGCAAAGAGTTAAGGTAAAATTGCAAACCAATATACACATATACAATACAGTAAGCAATTATATTCGTAACAAACAGGTAGTAAAGGCTTGAGAAGGTTATTATTTCCAACAGCTGTTGTTGTTAATTCTCTTCAAGTCAACTTCGACTAGCAGGAACTCCATGAATGAGAACCTCCAAGTCACTTTATCCTCAAGAACCTGGCTTATTTATTTATTTATTTATTTATTTATTTACTCTATTTATACCCCGTCTTGCTCTACCCCGAAGGGTACTCAAAGCGGCTTACATAGAGGCAATTATTCAATGCGTTAAAACTCATTCAATTCTAAAAAATTAAAATTAAATTAGATTAAAATTAAACATATTATTAAACATTTAAAAACATTCCATTCCATATTAAAATCACACCATCCATAGTCATAGTCCAAGCCGTTCTATAGTCATAGCCATAGGCTTAGGTATTGCAGCCATGGTTTCCTTGATTAACTCCAACTGGAATACAGTCTTCTTCTTTTCCTGCTGTCCTCCATTTTACTGAGAGTTATTATCTTTTATAGTGAGTTATCTCCTCTCATTATATAGCCAAAGTAGGACAGCCTCACTTCAGGGACAGTTGAGGTCTGATTTGTTCTAGAACAGTTGAGGTCTGATTTGTTCTAGAAACCATTTATTTGTGTGTGTGTTTTTTTTTAGCAATCCATGGTATTCACAGAATGCTTCTGCAGCACCACATCTCAAATCTTTTTTTTTTTTTTTTACTGCCCAGCTTTCACATCCATACAAAGAAATAGAGAATATAATGGCATGGATCATCCTAGCTTTAGTATTCATTTACGGTATCTTTGCACTTCAGGTTTTGGTCTAGTTCCTTCATATTTTATTGACACAGTTCCATTTCCCAATGCAGGCAAAAAACTATTTCTAAACACTCATCTCTCATAAACAACAAACATAAGCTCTACACATTTTAAAAACTGCCACATCAATATATATTAGCTTAGTCCTCAACTGTCCTAGCTTTCTACGGACAGAGAGGTTGGCTTTGTTTTCAACAGAGAGGAATTGAAAATGCAGTTTCATATCTGAAGTCTTGTATGGTAGAATTCAAATAGTATTTTACCATGTGATAGCTTTGACTTTATAGATCAAGTTGAAATGTTAGGAACGACGTTATTAATGCTGTTGGCACTGCTAAGTGCCATCCTTTCCAATGTAGACACAAGCACTCAAAATTGAAAAAGGCAGGCTTCAAAAATGCATAAATGTTTCCATCTTTGCAAGCTGAGCTAAAAGCAAAAGATTTCCTTTGTAAGATTAGGGGAAATAATAAACTATTCCGACAATTCAGTGTATAGTTTCTGTCATGGGCAGTTTAATGTACATTAATAAAGCTCATAATTCCTGCCAAACCCCATTATTACAGAATACCTTTTCTGAATCCACAGTGTGACTTGAAGTGGGTAGTTCTTCCAACTTTCCTTTGTTTGATTTCTCGTGATTTGTCTAGAATCCAAGAAGATTTAAACCAATGTCATTTTATATCACCTACAGCCAGTTCATTTACTCTTATTCCAAAGATAGTCATCCTTTACTTTTTATGAGCTAAACCACAATGTGTACCCGAAGTACGTGAAAAACCAATGAAATGAAAACCTCTTTGTTTGCAGTTTTAGCTGTAATTTAACACACTTCCGGGGGGGGGGGGGGTTGTCATGTCAGGAGCGACTTGAGAAACTGCAAGTTGCTTCTGGTGTGAGAGGATTGGCTGTCTGCAAGGATGTTACTCAGGGGACACTCAGATGTTTTGACGTGTTACCATCCTTGTGGGAGGCTTCTCTCATGTCCCCGCATGGGGAGTTGGAGCTGACAGAGGGAGCTCATCCGCACTCTCCCCGGATTTGAACCTGTGACCGGTTAGTCTTCAGTCCTGCTGGCGCAAGTTTAACCCACTGCGCCACCGGGGGCTCCTACACTTCAAATGTGTCTTCTGGATTCACTTTTCCTCCATAAATATAAATTAAGGATATCCTGCTGAATTATCTCATTTGTGATGAACAAACTGGGGGGAAAGAATCCCATATTAATCCAAATTTTGAATCCCAGATTCAATATAATTCAGAAAATCCAGTTCTTCTACTACATGGACTAAAACCAGGGGTGGCTCGTCCATTACACGAAGTAAGCGGTTGCAGAACACTTTTTTTTGCCAGGGGCGCAGAGGCACCTCTGTAAATGCCCCTCAACTGCCACTTGAGGAGCACCCCCTCAGCTCACTACAGCCCTAGCAGTCCGGGGGGAGCCTCGGCTTTCTTGCCTCGCTGCCGGGCGATCCTCTTCCCAAAGGGGCCGGGCCCTTGAGCCTCGCCTAGCCCCTCTCGTTCCTGCTCCACCTGGCCACCGGGTGCGCGAGCAGAGCCGGCGCTCAATCGTTCTCCGCGTTCGATCCCTTCCCCATGACCGGCTCCCCTTCCCAATCCCCCGGCGCTCCACCCGCCTCCTCTCCTCTCCCCAATCCGCGGGTGGGCCAAGGGGCAAAGCCGCCGCGCCTGGCCGTCCGGAGGAGTGTCTGAAGACCCCAGCGTGCGCACCAAAAGTCGCCTCTTCTCCTGACTTTCTCTTCAGCCATTGGGACCAAGCAAGAGAGACAGAAAGAGAAAGAGAAAGAGCCCCTCCGGCTGGAGGTATCTTCCACCTCCGCTCCCTCCTTTGTTTTTGCACCTACCTTCAGGAAAGGTGGGCATCTCCACCTCTCTCTCTCTCTCTCTCTCTCTCTCTCTCTCTCGCTAATGGCTGAGGAGAAAGTCAGGAGAAGAGGTGACTTTTGGTGCACACGCCGGGGTCTTCAGGCACGCCTCCGGACCCAAAGCGGGCCAGGCATGGGAGCAAGTGCGGCAAGTGTAGTTACTGGGATGTATAGTTCACCTACAATCAAAGAGCATTCTGAACTCCACCAATGATGGAATTGAACCAAATATGGCACACAGAACTCCCACGACAAACAGAAAATATATATCAGTGATTGGTTGGGGGGGGGGGCAAAATACTGTTTGCTTACCGTTGAAAATTACCTAGGGCCACCTCTGACTAAAACATACATCTCTGCAGAGTTTAATAAAATAGAATCATAGAATCGTAGAGTTGAAAGAGACCTCATGGGACATCCATTCCAACCCTCTGCCACAAAACAGGAAAATCACCCTCAACAGATGGCCATCCAGCCTCTGTTTAAAAGCCTCCAAAGAAGAAGCCTCTACCATACTCTGGAACATATCTCAGGGTTAGGAAGTTCTTCCTCATGTTCAGCTGGAATCTCCTTTCCTGTAGTTTGAAGCCATTGTTCCATGTCCTATTCTCCAGGGCAGCAGAAGACAAATGTTTGGTTTCACTCCCTTGTAAATATTTACAGTAGCAAATGTTTGGTTTCACTCCCTAGTAAATATTTATTTTATGTGCAAAAAATCCAAAATGGATGCTTCCCGATATGGGCTATTTAGCAGCCATCAATGGAGCCATGATGGAGCAATGGGTTAAAACCTTGTGTTGACTGAACTGCTGATCTGAAGGTCAGTGGTTCGAATCCGTGAGACTGGGTGAACTCCCGTCTGTCAGCTCCATCTTCCCATGCAGGGACATGAAAGTAGCCTCCCACAAGATGGTAACAAATCCAGGTGTCCCCTGGGCAACATCTCTGCAGACAACCAATTTTCTCACACCAGAAGCAACTTGCAGTTTCTCAAGTCGCTTCTGACATGATGATAATAATAATAGCAGCCGCCAATAGTTGTTTTTTGTTTTATGTCAGAATAGCAATTGTGCTTCCGGTTCTCTTACTTTCCAAAGTCTCCCTTATCAATCCCAACATTTGGAGAACACACTTTTATTATCAGTTTAGGAAAGAGTGAATGCTTTCTTTTCCATCTCCATTCTAGTCCAAATCTTAAAATCTACTTTCCCCCAACATTTTACAGATGAAAACCAAGACACATGTAGACACACATATGTTTTTATTGGTGTAAATATATAACCATTATGGAATATTTAAAGGAATATAATCAAATAAACTAGTTAAAAGAGCTGTTTGGTGCGTGGCTGAACAAGAATTGTGCTAGGAGGAACAAAGACAGTATCCAAAAAGTGTGTTGTTTCCAGAAATGTCCTGTAGAGGGAGCATTTCTTTCATTTAGCAGCACAACAGTTCAAATGCAAGCAATGCAACAGTCAAAAAATTAATAAACTGGGAAATGTAAGCTTCAAATAGAAATGTGAATAGTTATGTGTTGGAAGTTTGTCAGTGTGTAAGGCCTCTTCTCCACATTCAGTAGGATGAATTGGAACTTGAAGAACAGCTTGGAAAAATTAATTTCTTGGGCTACAATTCCCAGGCAGCCCAACCAACAGGCTTTGCTCTCTGATCTAGTCATTTACATTTAATGAACACTGAGTATCTGAGCATTTGGAAACTAAAGAAAACATTTATGCTGGTCAAATAACACTTCCAAACTACAGACAGAAGGTTGATTAATTTTGTGCTTGTGCTTCTTGTCAAAGCTCATAACTGAGAGCTGCTTTCAGAGAGAAAGTGTCTGTTCTCACTTCAATACCCAGGAGATTTAAACACAAAATTCCCATTAGCAGCTGGTCATGGAAGTTCCCCCTGCCTATCCTTGTGTGCGGAGGTGAAAATAAAACATCCAGAAGTCCCAAGGATGCTTCAGAGATGTGTGAAAATGAATGAGGGGGGGAAGTCCAGACCAAAAAGAAGATTGACATTGTAAGTCTATATATCTATATAAACAAAAATGTAATGTTAGTTTGTGGGATTAACATAACTCAAAAACCACTGGACGAATTGACATCAATTTGGACACAATACATCTATCAGGCCAATGAGTGACCATCACTCATAAAATATTGAAAAGTGTGTTGTTCATTCGTTCAGTCGTCTCCGACTCTTCGTGACCTCATGGACCAGCCCACGCCAGAGCTCCCTGTCGGCCATTACCACCCCCAGCTCCCTCAAGGTCAGTCCAGTCACTTCAAGGATGCCATCCATCCATCTTGCCCTTGGTCGGCCCCTCTTCCTTTTGCCTTCCACTTTCCCCAGCATAATTGTCTTCTCTAGGCTTTCCTGTCTCCTCATGATGTGGCCAAAGTACTTCAACTTTGTCTCTAGTATCCTTCCCTCCAGTGAGCAGTCGGGCTTTATTTCCTGGAGGATGGACTGGTTGGATCTTCTCGCAGTCCAAGGCACTCTCAGAACTTTCCTCCAACACCACCGCTCAAAAGCA